CAGTGATAGTCTTCTTTTAAATGTATTGCTGTCTCTATTTCAGTGTGTCTTCATTGCCAAGGGCATAAAATTCTGGATTCCTTATATAATCTTAAGAGGAAGATGATTTTCTTTGTCCTCTCAGGTTGGTTTTGCTCTTAGTGAAATAATCCATTGTACAAATTACTTTTGTCCTGCCTATTCCAAACGGGGTCATTCCTCCTTGCTTCACCTTATGAGTAGAGATTATATCTTCTTTTTGTTTTGTAACCACTTATATAGGCGAATGAGTGTCCCTTCAATAAGACTTGCTAACTGTGCAAGCACAGGACAGAACATGGCAGGCACTTTAATGGTGGTGAAATGAAATACTCCACTATCAGTAGAGAGAGATATTGCAAGGGTGAGTGTAAGCCCACTGTATGTCAACAGTGCAAGTATTTATGCCCTTTAAACCTATAAGAAAATTAATTTCAGGTCTTTTTTCTTAGGATAAATGCTTACATTTGCACAGGATTTACATTCTTAATCTCCTCCTTGGTCTCTAGAACTTTGTGAGGTAGAATGGTTTATATTGTTGTGTTTATACATCTTAGTCTGCTAACGTGGGCAGCTATAACAAAATACCACAAACTGGATGGCTTATAAACAACAAAAATATATTTCTCACACATGGGGACGCTAAAAGTCCTAGAACAGAGTGCCAGCATGGTCTGGTGAGGACTTTCTTCCAGGTTGCAGACTTTTCATTGTATTCACACATGGCAGAAGGGAGGCGCTAGGTCTCTGTAGTGTCTCTGTCTTTTTATCAACAACATCCAGAAGAATTTAATAATTTCTTCAGTTGTGATATATTTTTTAATATCCCTGAAAGAATTGAAGGATAGGAAGTGGGGAGTCTAGCTTTTGTGGTGCTAAAGCTTCGTATTTGCTTTAGGAATCGGTTTATGGATGCCAAAGCATCTGCTTCTGGCACGACTTGTTCTGCAAGTCATTATAATAGCTTTCAAATAATGTGTTGATTTTTTTTTTTTTTGGCTGGGGTGTGTCTTGTCTGACTGACACAGCTGTCACTGGTCAATTGATGGCCTTTTTGTGCCTCTGTTGACATGGAGGAGCGTGTGTACTCCTCAGTGATTTCCCCATCAAAGCGATAGTCACTGGATGATGTACAGTCTCAATAGGTGGAAAAATTGTCCATGCTGTTATTTCTGGGCTGTTCACCCAGGGTATTAAAGGATCTGACAAAGGATACGAATCAACAGCCAGATGAAGAGATACAGAGGCTAAGGAATGGGGAAAGGGAAAGAGCTCCCATGCCCTCTCCAGGCACGCCATTCTTCTCCCACCAACCTGGAGCCCCTGGAGTCCCTTGGAAGGGCACTCATCTAATCACAAGAACTATTCGCCTCCCCAAGTCCCCACCTCTTAATACCATTACTTTGGGGATTAGGATTTCAACATAAGAACATTCTAACTTTTGGACTATAGCAATTCGACACATAAATGTAAAACATTATATAAAGCTCTTATACGGCACTATTTATAATATAAGCCGTAAATGTTATGCGTGCTGTACAGGTGGAGAAACTGAAGTTCATGCAAACTATTACTTGGCAAAAGTTGTATAGATAATTCAAGGCAAGCCAAGGACTCCACCTCAAGTCTGATTTCAAGTCTAGTGAAACCTTTCCATTTCATCTTGGGTCCCATAACCCAGAGCTGTGATTTGGATGTTTCTAAGCATGTTGAGGTAGCTTCCTGACCTGAAGAAAGTTATGCCCTTTATAGAAATACAATTAATACCTGTTGTATCAGCAAGGTGGGTCTTAAGAGCTTGCAAGACTCAGACATACAGATCTGCATTTGTGAATTCCCTTCACACACTGTATAATTTCTCATTGCCAGTGCACACACCATACAGATCTCAACTTCAAAATTCTCTGGACACCAACATTTCCAATACTCAGCTTCATGAGAAGGGAAATTCATGTGATTTCGAAGACTTAATGACAAACACAGTACAACTTGCCCTTGCCAACAATTTTGATGTGTGAAATTCCACATTTAGGCATTTTTTCTTTGTAGCCTAACAATGGCAAATGCCCTCTGACACCTTAGGGTAGATGAATTTGTAAGAAACATTCCCTAAAGCAGGTATGTACAGGATGTAGAGAAAGTGTTGAGAAACAAAGCAGGGATATAGGAAGATTAACCGTTGAGCCAAAAAAGAGCAAACTGGGAGATTTACAGTTTTGCTTACTGTAACTCACTGATTTGTGTCCCCCTAAAAGATAATGTTAAAGTCCTAACCCCAGGTACTTATGAACACAACCTTATTTGGGTATAGGGTCTTTACTAGTGTAATCAATTTAAGATGAAGTCATATTGGATTGGGGTGAGCTCTAAATTCGATGACTGGTGTCTGGATAAGAGAAAGGAGAAAAAGATTTGGATATAAAGACACAGAGGAGACACAGAGAAGAAGGCCATGTGAAGACAGAGATAGATATGGGGGTGATGCCACTAAAAGCCAAGGAATGCTAAGGATTGTGGGAGGCTCTGGAAGCTAGCAAGAGGCAAAGAAAGATTCTTCCCTAGAGCCTTCAAAGGGAGAACGTCAATAACTTGATCTCTGACTTCTGGCCTCCAGAACTGTAAGAGAATAATTTTCCATTATTTTAAACTACCCAGTTTGTGGTAATTTGTTACAGCAGCCTCAGGAAAGTAATATACCTGCTTAACACGTCATCCTCTATTTCCAGTGTATTGTGTGACAAAATTTCGAATTTGATCTTTGATTTAATCCTTTTCAATTAAATAATGCTCTTTAATTTTTGTTCTGATACGTCATCCTGGCTGTCCCCATCTTTTCTTGCCCCCTTGGCTCTGCTCTTCTAACAAGCCTGCCTATACATTCTTTTATCAATGGGCTACCCTCCTCCTCCCCCACAGCGCACACCCCTACACCAAGAGTGTGAATGCTCCTATCTGCCCCCTACAAGAAAACTACTCCCCTAACACTTTATTGTTTTCATGAGGTTTGCACTCTTTTTACTCATGTTAGTGGCAAAAATCATTTTACATTACACTAAATATCAACCTACTAAAATATAATATTGGCACAATTTCTAATAATGTCTTAAAAATAACATGGAGTTTCTTAAAAGTCATTGTCTTTAGTCTTTACAAATTCCCCGGATTCCAGTTGTTCAAACAACCTGTGGGAGCTAAATGAAATCGCTTGAAGGTAGATTGTTGGATGATCCCAGAGTCACTGTACAGACTCAACCCAAAGCCAATCACAGGGATCTCTACTCCTTTGCCAAACACTCCACCGAGAACATTCTTATAGCCTTGGGGAGGGAAGGGAGGGAGGAAAGGGGGCTGGGAGTGGGCGTGAAAACAATGGCCAACTTGCAAGGGCAATCAAATGCCCTAGCAACACTGCCTGGTGATTGCGTGATTACTAAGGTTTTAAAGTTAAATTTACGCAGTTGTCACTAGGTCAGTGGTGACTCCCCAGCCCTTGCCTAGCCCAGTGCGTGGCTTGTAAAACCCAAAAGCTAGCGAATGGTGGTCACAGCGGGGCTTAAAGGTTCTAGTAGTGGTCCCTCCAGAAAAAAAGAGAATAACTCCCTTCCCCCAGGGAACAATATTTCGTGATGAGTTGTGAACCAAAACTATTGCTACCACCATCGCTATAATTCTATCCACGGTAATTATCATAAAGGCCTGAGGACACCCTGCAGATGAAAGTTCTGAATAACTGTCATGACCAGGAGATTGAAGACCTCACCAAAAACCAGGTGTTCAGAATCCCCTGGACGGAAGTCAGTTATGACATCGCAATCCCAGTTTACTCTGTGAAGCGATTTCAGTGGAAATGAGACAACTCAAAAGGAATACATAGATGGGATTTATTTTTACACACAGCGTGCTTGGCTCCAGGCCGCCCCATCATCCCCTCCAGATGCTTGGGCCTGTCTTTAGGGGTTCTGGACCGCCAGACTCCAACGGCCTCGCAGCCGCCGCCGCCGCCTCCGCGCCGCCTGCTTCCCGGGACAATTCGGCCCCTCAGTCTCTTCCAGGGGGCGTCCCGGTCGGCTGTAGTCCTCGGGGCTTCGGGAGCGCCCGCCCGGGAGCGGGAGCCCCGCAGGGCACCCTGGCGTCCGGGCTGCCGAACGCGCGCCCCTAGTCTTGCGCCCCGTAGCGGCCCCGAGGGGCGGGAACCGAGCTGGGCGGCGAGGCCGGGCCGGGGGCGCACGGCGCCCCCAGAAGTGCGGGCTTCCCCCACCCCCGGCGGCGACCCCACCTCCCGCCCCCGCTGCGTGCGCGCGGGTGTCCGTCGGTCTGTCTTCTCTCTCGACGTCAGTGGGAATTTCCAGCCAGGAAGTGAGAGAGTGAGCGAGAGAGAAAGAGAGAGAAGTGCACCAGCGAGCCGGGGCAGGAAGAGGAGGTTTCGCCACCGGAGCGGCCCGGCGACGCGCTGACAGCTTCCCCTGCCCTTCCCGTCGATCGGGCCTCTCGCCGCCGCCGCCGCCGCCGCCGCCCTCGGCCTGCGCCCCGCCGCCGGCCCCGCTCCGAGAGCCCC